TGCTTCGTGGCGTACGTCGTCTCCAGGAGATGCCCATACTCATCATGATGCAGGTCTCCTGGTGTCGCTGCATTCTCATCCCGCTCTGCTGCTGCTGCCACCATCTTCTGATACTTCTCACGATCACGTTGGGCTCGCTTGAGTCCTTTCTCTTTGTGGGCCGTGGTGGTGGCGATCTCGATCTTCACTGGCTGGATCGGCATCTGCACCTTGACCGAGGCGGGTCGCGAGTGCAGGCGCAGGTGGAGGCCAACGTGTGGGCTCCATGGTACATCCCTCACAGGCTTGAATTATTTCACAAAAGGGCGAAAGTCTCGCGAAGCTATCCCGTAATCTATGAGTCTGCCTTTGCCTGTGGAACATGTGACGGTGCAATCGCTTGGTATCAGCAACTCTCCCCTCAGAGCCTTCAACCATGGTGACTGCTGCATCTGCGTCGGTGTGTTGTTCCAATCTCCGAGTGCAACCCATGGCACTCCTAGGGACTTCACCACTCGTGTCAGCTGTACCATCTTGGCGACGTTCGCTGGTCCATCAAGTCCCACACTGCAATCAAGATACACCGAGATCAAAGCCAGCGTTGCCCCTTTCAAACGCCAGAGGATGATCGAGATGTCGCGCAGTTCTTTCTGAAATACACTGTGCCCCGTGCCATCGGGCAAGTGTGCTGCCGTGACGTGGCCTGCTCTGGCAAGCCAGCACGTCCCCCCTTGAGTACCAGACTTACTCCGCATCGATGGTGTCGCAGGCGTCCACGAGAACTGTGATTGCCACCCCTTGAATCTCAGTTTCTTGATCTCCTGCTTGGCGGCCTTTGGGAGCAGGTGATGCTCTGCTAAGCCGATCATGTCAAAACTGCAGTGCTCCACATAGTGTCGCACCTTTTCCCCGTAGTGCGTGACATTGGCGAACAGCACGTCCACATAGCCACACTTCATTCGTGTAGGTCGTTCTTTCTTTGTGTTGACGATGGCGCTGTCAGGAGCTCGACGGTGCAACGCTGGCTGCCCCTTTGGCCCTGGCACGGAGCGCCGCTGTCTTGGCAATATACTGGTCGATCGCACTCGGGTCCGTGAAGTCCACCGCCTCTGGGGTTGACGCTGCGGCGGTCTCGTCTGGTTCCGCAGCTGCTGCATCTGTTCCTTGGGCTTCACCTCCCGCTCCTCTGCGCCTCTTGATGGAGTTGTGCAGCGTTCGCAGCCTCTCTGCAGCCTCACGTGCCGCTTTGCCCGCATCAGTGGCCGACTTGAGCAGGTTGCGAGCCTTCTTGTGAGCCGCTGCCGCTTCTTCGTACTGTTTCCGAGTGGGTTCATCGAGGGATGCCAATTCCTCGGTCTCCAACTCTGGGAAATCTTCTTCATGTTCTTGATGTGCCTGTTGTGCTTGCCGTGCGTCCGACTGTGGTCCTGCTGCCTTGGTCTTGCCCACCAGTTCGTCGATCTCGGACTGCGCAGACTGGCATTCATCAATGTTGGTCCTGAGCTTGGTCTGCATATCTTTGAGAGTCTGAGCCGCCTGCAACAGCTGGTTCTTGATCCGCCCCTGCTGCGCCTGGAGCTGGCGGAGCTGTTGCGCCTTCTGTGCCAGGCGCTCCACCGGTGAGGCCTCTGGTGGCGGCTTCCACGCAGCTTCCAAGTCTGGGCAGACGGCCAGGAGCTTGGTCTGGCCCTCGCGATCTCCGTCCTCCTTGGCCTTGTTGAACTTGGGGAGGAGTACCTGGAGGATCGGGTCCAGGCCACCTCCGCTTCCCTTGAGACATGATCGGAGGGGCAAGCTCGCGCCTCCCTCAGTCTCCCCCAGGTCGAACGTGACAATCGCCCTGGCTGGATCCTTCCACAGACGGCCACACTCTCGACAGCTCTCCCATCCCGTCTTCCCTGCCTTGTGCACAAACACCCAAGACCGAGGGCAATTAGGGCATGCCAGATACTCATTCTTGCGGCTGCGGCTGGACGATCGCGGGCGGTCATGCTTGCCCCCCTTGGTCATCCGCAGCTGCAGCTGGTCCGATCAAATCACGCGCAACTTCCGCCGCCCTCTGGGCGCCCCTCAAGCCGCGGGTGTGCCTGGCCGCCCTGCGCTCGCAGGGCACCGACACACGGTACGCGTGCGCGTGTGCGGGTCGGGGCCTCCCCCCAAGAAGGCCTGACCCACAATGGCTTGAGAAGAGGATGAGAAGGAGGAGGCGTAGGAGCAGGAGGAGAAGGAGAAGGAGGAGGAGGAGAAGGAGGAGGGAGAGGAGGAACACGACGAAGAGGCAGAGGATGATGACGATGACGATGACGATGACGACGATGGTGATGATGATTTCGATGATGATGATGTTGATGATGATGATTCTGATGGTGATGATGATGGCGATGATGGTGATGACGATGATGATGATGATTATGCTGATGATGCTGATGATGATGCTGATGTCGATGTTGGTGATGATGATGATTCTGATGGTGATGGTGATGCTGGTGATGCTGGTGATGATGATGCTGCTGATGATGATGGTTCTGAGGATGCTGATGCTGATGATGATGATGATGATGATGATGATGATGATGCGGCTGATGATAGTGCTGATGAAGCTGATGATGATGCTGCTGATTATGCTGATGCTGATGATGCTGATGATGCTGACGACTGATGATGATGATGATGATGATGGTGATGATGCTGATGATTATGATGATGATGATGATGGTGATGATGCTGATGCTGATGGTGATGCTGATGCTGATGCTGATGCTGCTGATGATGACGATGATGGTGATGATGTCGATGATGCTGATGATGATGATACTGCTGATGATGATGCTGTGGAGGAGGAGGCAACCATTGCAGTGGAGGAGGAGACGGGGGTGGTGGATTAGTAGTAGTAGTAGTAGTAGTAGTAGTAGTAGTAGTGGTAGTAGTGGTCGTAGTCGTAGTAGTCGTAGTAGTAGTAGTAGTAGTAGTAGTAGTAGTAGTAGTCGTAGTCGTAGTCGTAGTCGTAGTCGTAGTCGTAGTCGTAGTCGTAGTCGTAGTCGTAGTCGTAGTCGTAGTCGTAGTCTTAGTCGTAGTAGTAGTAGTAGTAGTAGTAGTAGTAGTAGTAGTAGTAGTAGTAGTAGTAGTAGTAGTAGTAGTAG